CATTTCACATCCCATGTCTGTAGTTTCTTTTGTGTGCCTATAAATATTGAGTAACGCCTGGCTAAAAATGAGTTGGCTTACCAGCCATCTCCCCTGCGCGTCATTTTGCTGTGTTCTATTACATTCACTTTACATAGAAAATATATGTATCAAAGGCCATTCTCGTTAATTGACTTATCTGAATTCCATTATTGACTAACGTGATTTAAGTCGATGATCGTATACGAGGATAAGTGATAACAAATATTCGTACGATCTAAATGGAGTCAGATCCAAAGGCCACTAAACACCCTCTATTTCCGTTTCCATTGTCCTTAATTTTTTTTTTGAGAAGAGATTTGGTACTGTAGAGATATCAAACACTCTATATGCGTAGTAACTTACCGTATTACATGTCAACATAATATAACTTTTTAGGCTACAATAGGATAGTCGAAACTGATTGAGTCGTCTCAGTCTATCTTCATAAGACAGGTTAGAGCGACCCTCAATCATTGTTGATACCTGACACTTATCCACTGATGGTTGAGATTACTGAACCCTGTTGATTAAAATGTGTAAATATGATGCCTAAAATATGGCATCAAGTGATTGACTAACTTGTATTCCAAAATTTGTACTCATGAAATTAGGTACATACTTCTTGTGTGAGAAGAATGTGTCGTCTATAATCAGTTTGGTTGAATGCACATAAAATTGCAAATCTCTCACCATTCTCGTTCGTTTCTCTAAGTCAGTCCATGTCGTTCCATGATATCTTGATACCTGATGTTGTCCTTTCCGATTTTGGAGTTTAAGTTTCTTATCGGGATGGTCAGTTCCTTTCCTGAGCACTTCAATTTGATCGACTGAAGCCTCTCAAAAAATTGGTTTTATCGGCTTTGTTGTTAACATCGGTGGGTGCACATGTCACGTTCAAGTTTTTGCTCGTTCCAGTTATTGAAGTACGGTATATCGATCTATTTGCAATTTTTGAGCCCAAGTTAACAATAGGACCAAGCCTCAATCCATGTATCAAAGTTTATTCGCAATTTACAAATAGTCGACCCAAATGTCGTTCTAACAATAATTATAACAATTATCGAAACAAACCGGAGAAGAAACTCTCAAATATTAAACCAAAGACAAAGAGAAACCAAAATGTCCGAAAATAATGATATGAACAAACAAGTTCAGAAGTTGAGTAAAACAAATACATCTAAAAAACCAGTGAAATTAATAACATTCAATATAAAGTTTTTAACCAGCTTAACGTCTTCAGTTCCCCTGTAACAACATAATATTGACTAACATTTCTTGTGATTCCCCACTTCTTTGTTTCGAAATATGCTTTAATGATCGTAAGTCCATGAGATTCCCATCCTACACAATTTTACGTGCTTCTTTAGTCACTATCAAAGTAAATACGATAATTTGAATTATTGTAATAATCATGAATTCCCGAAATAGTGCAATTTACAGAAAGTAGAACTAGATGAGCACAGATGAACGTATTATATTTCAAATTCGTATTCACTGGGAAAGTAACAACAAAGGAATCATTAGTTCATGCAAATATCACATCCTCCGCAACCTGAATGAGAATCCATATTTCTGTAATCGACTAAACCTCTTCTCCTTAGGTTCATTGCATTTCTGTCTGACTGCGCAATAGATACGGACTCAGTATGATTTAAAATTTACTCAGTAGTATTAGGATTAACAAATCGGGACGAACTCAACCGAGTCTTGGAATTGTAAATGATTAACATGTCGGTTGTGTACTGAAAACACTATCTGGAATTCGAACCATAGAATTTCCACTACCTTCCCACCTAAGATATAATAAAGAGTGCCTATGTCACAGTGTTATGACCGAATTGACGTTTCCAATTCGCATTACCTTCTCATATCCAACACTTCGACTTTATATGTGAGCCACTTGTGGATAGATACTGACATATAATTTGAGGCACTCCATCATGTGACTGAAGATGCCACAGGTATTCGGAGTTTGAAAACAATGTAACTAGTAACACCTTCTACTATGAATCGTGCCCACCAAGTGAAATCAAAAGTCAGAAGCGAGGAGGTCAGAAAATATATTTGACAGGATATCAATATATCGAGATTCGACTGACCTAAACTGGCTAGCGATTGCAGCAGAAGTTGAGCACAGCGTTTCCACTCGTGATCTGATGCGAATGCATGGCCGAGCGCCTCCAACTACGTTAATCCATTGAAACCAATGTGGTCAGCATCAAATGTCAGACTTACAGAGCTACTGATTTTGAGGATTTATTTACCACTGCAGATTACTCCCACTAGTGGGGTAGTGATGACTCTGAGACGTGGCCAGCCAGATGTTTAATTTTTTATCTTATTTGAACACATAAATATTGGTACAAGAGGGCACCAAATATATATACGCCACACAAAACAATGAGAATTCGAAGAGAAAAAAAGAACAATAACGGACAGATTAGTGTAAGGTAGCGTAATAGTAATAAAAATAATAATAGCAATAATGGGAGAAACGGAAGGGTACAACCCGAAGAATTCTTTCAGTTATGGAAGATACAACCACTTTTTATAAAGAAAGTAAAAGAAAGCTACAGCAGGATCGCCACTGGCTTCTATCCTGAGCCATATCTGATAATGTCTCTAGCCACTGTGTCGCACCATCTCTCGAACCCAAACCAGGGAGTCGTGAAGGACCAACACAAGCCAGCCCTTTACAGCTTTTTTTCATACCCCGACACCATGTCATACACTGACCACCTCTCCACTTTTTCCAACCAGTCCCAAAGTCCGCAAATAATACACGACGTGGAATTCTCTGGGACGACATTCGTAGAACATGTCCAAGCCACCGAAGTCAATGTTTCAAGATGGTGACACCAATTGAATTATCATCTCTGTGCCCGAACACACGATGCCGAACCTCTGCATTACTAACATGGTGTTGCCACTGAATGTCAGCAATCCTTCGGAGACAACGATGATAAAACACAGTCGTCTAACATCCTCAACTCGGAGGCCAGGTTTCACAAGCATAGAGCAAAACTGCTCTCACTGACGCATTGTAGATCCGAGCTTTTACAGTCAGACTAACATCACGAAGGCACCAAAGATGGCCCAGATTGGCATAAGCCGCTTTGGCTTTCACTATGCGTGCATTTATCTAATCACTCACGCCACCACCAGCACTTATGCAGCGTCCCAGGTACATGAACTTCTCAACTACTTCTATCTGCTCATCATTTAGGGTGAGTATAGGATTAGAATCCTGCCAGTCTTGTAGAAGTACTTTGCACTTCGAAGGTGCAAAGCACATACCGTACCTACGGACACTGATTGCCAACTGATTAAGTGCGGATTGCATGCCTTGGGCATTGTCGCACAGTACGACAATATCATCCGCATATTCAAGGTCCAGAAGTCTTTCTCCAGGCAACAGATCCACGCCGCCACTACTTACATCCATCAGAGCTGTTTCCAGAATGACATCGATGGCAAAGTTGAAGAGGAATGGTGAGATTGGGTAACCCTGTCTAACCCCACTGCTCGAATGGAACAATAGAGAGAGGTGGTTGTATGCCCTCACTCTGCCTGAGGTGCTTGTGTATAGGGCTTTTGGGATGTTAATAAACTTCTCAGGCACACCCTTCTTCAATAGACAATTCCAGAGAACAGTCCTGTCCAACGAGTCGAAAGCAGCCCTAATGTCAAGAAACACTACGATTGCTGGCCTTTGATAAGTATGACGGTGTTTTAGCATTTGGCGAAGGCTGAAGCTATGATCAATACATCCTCGACCGGAACGAAAACCAGCCCTATCTGTTGTGCAATCTGCATAAGTGTGCGAACGTTGAAGGTAGACAGTTTGAATCGTGTATGTGGTTTCAGAAAGACTGTTTCAGTATTCGTGTTCGGTGGAAGCATACGACTTTCGACCAAGCAGTGACTCGAGATCGTTCAGATAGAACCGAATTTCCACCATCGGCAACCTGCTGTATAAGTCGAAAAATAAGGATACACAGAGTGGAAATAAAAGAGTGAATAGATGACGTGAATAATAATAATATGGACCGTTTGATTGTTAATCAAAGCAAGAGAAGTATTTTCCATAAATATCGACATTTCATCATATTTGTGTGTGGGCTGGGATATTGCCCGGGTGCCCAGACCGAAGCAGGTGGTTTTCTTAGGGGGCCACACCCCGAGCCCTTGGCCTAAAAGTCTGACACACGAGGCAGCGGAGCATCATGAAAAGATGCAGTCCCATGGTAGCCGGTGACTAACAATTGGTTCATACGCCATTTGCTCCCTCAGGATACTAATGGCCATGTACACCATTGGTTTGGAATCCGGTTAAAGCGCCGGACATTCGCTTTTCGTCCTCTCACCTTTGTAAACAACACACCCGCCACGAGGGGGCAGTGAGTAGGACTTCCCTGGCAGAGGCTGTATACGCGTGGCCGTGTGAGAGCATCTCGAGAGGGAGGGCGGGTCCATCCCACTCTCGACCATACCAGCGCATTTGGGGCCTATCGAATCCTATATGCAGATGTGAAGTGCGACAGTTTGTGAGTAAAAACTCCTTTCATCAACCTGATTGATTAGAATCAAATGTTGATAACTGACAAAACACTTGCCAATTAACTTAAAAAGAAGGATTCTTGGAAAATAAATAACTAAAGACGATACAATAACTATAAATGTATGCATCACCTTGTTGGTTCAACTGCTACTTTATGGAGAAATCATATACAAACACACAGAACCAGATTAATGGCAATCACTTAGTTCACTACTCTTTTAGTAGACCCATGACATTACTAAAATAACAATAATTGGATAAGGTGTAAAATTTCATATCTACTTGTAGATATCATTTGTAATAGAGTTACCAGATTTAAGCTCTGAATAGGGCATTATTAAGACAAAAAATGACGCTTGATATTTGAGAACTGGCTTCAGCGAACTACTTAATGAGAAACAAATAAGATATTATTTAAGACACCTTCTCTAAAAAATTAGATATTGTATAACAGATCTGAATTTGTTTATGAAAAAAGTCTCAATAATGAGATATTTAAGCATCGGTTTTTATCGAACTGCAATGAACAGAAGAGTTGGTATCTGGTGAGGCAATGTTCAAACATTCTTTGACAGAATTCGAGAGCGTGCCAATATCATCAGTTTTATCCTCTTTATCAGAATGAGCATCTTCAATGCTGGATCCTACAAATAAGGGATGATAAATATTCTAAGAGGATCAGGATCCAGAAAAAACTAAAACACTAAATACAACTTACATTGAATAAAAAGACTTCTAATTATACGGGAGCATAATCATTTCACAACACAAGATAAGAATTTATATCACAATTTACGTATGATATATAGCGCGTAGTAGGTAGTACATATTACGTTGCAGACACTTTATCAATGACAAGCATTAATAGTTTAACTGCAACGGACATAAATTACATCGAGATCCTGAACTGAACGAATTTTGAGGATCGAATAAAACAGAATTGAAGATAAAGAACATCTGCTTGTATACCATAGAATGCCACATCTCGTTTTTGAAATATATCATGGCATATCTCCCTCAGGCGTAAAAAACTTATCAAAGACATCCGTTTGCCCAAATATAAGTAGCGACTTACAGATATGGACGAAATCATGCACGTAATGTCAGAAGTCGGAAGTCCAACAACACGTAGTAGTATCGCCTATAAGAGGATTTTCTGCACCAGACTGGAGTCCGAGCATATGAATATCGATATTTTCGGACACTTACCACCCAATAATTTCACTTATGTACTAAATTGTATTGGCCGATTCACCAGATGGGTAAGAGCCATCCGGTTGTAAAACATTGCTCCTGAAACGGTGGAAAAGTTTGTGAAACATAAGATTGCTAATTTCGAAGTTCCAGAAAGGTTTTCAGTGGTGGTCTACCTTAAATCGACTCGTGAACTCAGCTATTACAATACTACTATATCCACAAATCGTCACACTGAAAATTGAATTATGAAAAATAATTACTAGTTGTCTGTTTACATATTTCTCCTCGCTCTAATTCTGATAGAAATTTTACAAACGTTTGTAAGATTTTACGGTTATCACTTAGCACAGATATTTTTTTCTATCAAAACAATTTGCAAATTTATTTCAAGACAAAAATTACATTTACACTATTCTCTAGTCAACCTGAATGGCAAGTTAATGTAGGTCCTCCGTCCCTTTACGAAGTTGAAAAAGCCATAGGAAATCTGAAACGAGGGAGAGCAGCAGGCCCTGACAGGTTTACTCCTGAGATTTTCAAGGATGGTGGTCCAGTATTAGCAATGAGATTAACCGAGGTCTTAGGTAGGATTTGGGAACTGGACGTAATCCCATCTGACTGGTTTCAATCACTGATTGTGCCAGTTTATAAGAAAGGACAAAAGTCCTCCTGTGACAATCACAGAGGAATCAGTTTGACTAATATAGTGTCTAAAATATTAGCTTCAATAATACTTCGACGCCTAATCAAAGCTCGTGAAGAGCAGATTAGAGAAAACCAGGCCGGTTTTCGACCTGGACGTGGTTGTATAGATCAGATATTCACACTACGTCAGGTTCTAGAACACAGACACACATTCAGACGCCTCACAATGGTAGTATTTCTCGACCTTAAGGCGGCATTCGACTCTGTTGATCGTGAGGTTCTATGGCAGTGTTTGTCACTGAAAGGAGTACCAGAGAAGTACATTAACCTTATAAAGGCTCTCTACTCGAACACAACTGGTCGAGTGAGAGCTTATGGCGAACTGTCATCAGAATTGATTACCTCAAGTGGTGTTCGTCAGGGCTATCCACTCTCCCCATTCTTGTTCAACTTTGTGGTCGACGTACTTTTAGAGATAACACTCTCCTCATCTAAATTCCCAGGGGTTGAACTTCTACTAGGAGATTCACTTGTTTACTTGGAATATGCCGATGAAATAGTTCTATTTGATGAAGACGCTGACAAAATGCACAGTCTTCTGACCACTCTAAGCAACAATGCAGGCATGTTCGGGATGCGATTCTCTCCCTCGAAATGCAAAATGTTGCTTCAGGATTGGGTTACATTGACACCCGAACTAGTGATAGGGAGTGAAGTAGTTGAGTGTGTCGACCGCTTCACTTATCTTGGAAGTCTCATCAGTCCTTGTGGTCTGGTGTGACGAAATCTCAGCACGGATACAGAAGGCTCGACTAGCTTTTGCCAACTTGCGTCATTTATGGTGTAGGCGAGATATCCGTCTATCAACCAAAGGACGTGTTTACTGCGCAGCAGTTCGTTCCGTTCTACTTTATGACAGTGAAACATGGCCGGTAAGAGTAGAGGATATTCGTAGGTTACTAGTATTTGATCATAGGTGTCTTCGAAACATTGCTCGTATATCATGGGACCATCGAGTAAGTAACACAGTTGTTAGGAAACGGGTACTAGGTAAGGATGGCAAATCAATTGATGAAGTAGTGAAACTTCATCAGTTGAGATGGCTGGGACGTGTTACGTATGCCCAACGACCGACTGCCTCGACGTGCTATGTTCAGTGGTATAGGGGTAGGTTGGAAGAAAGTTAGGGGTGGCCAGACCAAAACATGGCACAAGTCCATGAAGTCACTGATAAGTGAACTGAGTCATGTTGGTAGGTGTAGACTACCTGGTTGGGGACCGCGAGATGATAGCAACGGATGGTTAGAGACCCTGAATGACATGGCTCAAAATCGTTTGCAATGGCGCAGGTGCATCCATTCTCTGTGTTCTCCCAAATTCTAATCTTCTGAATTCTTCATGTCCCTTCCTTTTTTCCTCTTTCCAAATTTATTTCACTGGATTATACTCTTTAAATAACATCTCCAAAGCCTAATCTTCCCGATTACTGCTTATACTCTTATTACCTCTACCACTACGGGATTTGAATCGACAACTGCATCTCTGTGCTAATGTGGTGTGGCAACTCGAACTGATGTACGTACGTACGAAGTTCTACGTTGTTACTGACTGACTGAAACGACTAGAGGGACTAATATAATTCGTCTGTTCAAAGGTTAGAACAAACTATGCAGGCGTGTGACAATGAAACTCACTACAAGCTGAACGACTTCATATGGTGATATCGGTGTAGAACTATTGTTTTATTAGTGACTGACTGATCTTTACATTCCCAATTAACATAGATGTACTTGAATTATAGATTTTCGGACATTCAAGTGATACTTTGAATAAACCAATGATTAACATTCAGATAGATATTTTTCTTTGTACTACTGAATTAGTAATAGTTCTTACTAGAAACTGATATAAGTTGGAAGACAACTTCCTGAAATATGCTCCACATAGTTCCGGTTGTTCTCAGAGAGTAGAATCTGGATATCTCCAAACCTAGTGTCGGTTACTGTTTTCCAACTTAATACAGCTTTTGATTAAAGAACTTAATAGTAACAAATGTGGCGAGAGCAGGTAATATAACTGAAATTAAATCAATTCTGGCTGTTATCCAATACTTCCGCAGACTTTACTACATTTTTAAGGTACATTTAAGTGCTTTAAGCATAATTTAATTAAGAATTTATTGAGCGTTAACGGCTGTTTTAGGTTAGCAGCTATGGTAAAAAGTGTATATGCTATTTTTGTCATATAACAAATACTACGAAATGGGGGATTGTTTAATGAATGATAACGAAATAACTGAGTGTGTAGTAATCTTTTTAAACTGACTTACAAAAGTGCTTGATATAACAATATTAAGGCGTTTGGGTATTTCATGCTGAATAACATTAATAGGTATGTAGAACGTTTAAGAGGGTTAGGTTGCTGAGGTTCTCCCATGGATTTAACAGATCATCGAACAAGTAGTTCCTACTAAACATGTAAATCAATATTCTAGTATAATAAGGTCACTTATTATAATATGCCATGTTAAGCATATTTTGAGGTGATTCGAACATATGTTATAAGTGTTTAGTTACAAACTAGGTTGATGAGTTGCATTAACTGTATTAGATAAGGACTTCGGAGTCTCAAAAGTGATCTATAAAGCAATGTAATTTGCAGTTTTGAGGTTCCTATGATATAAAATACATACGGACACTTCTGTGGAGTCAAAATGTCAAAGACTGGGTTAGTTAAATCATGTATTATTATGAGGACTAACGTGTTTAATATGATTGTCACAAAGCAAAGAATTTATCATTTTGGATATATACTTCTCAACTGGCTTCCTAAGTCCATTGGTCCTTCTTTACCATTCTGTCTACGTTACTAACAAACATAACTTGTACCTATGTACCGCAGTGCAGATTGTTCTAGACCGACTTTGATGAATAGCCCTTAATTGATTGCCTAAGTCCTTAACTAGTTCTTCCCTAAACATATTAACATTTTAGCCATCGACAAAAGCTCTAACAGATTTTCCAGACTCAGACAAATATGTAATTTCAAAGGGGCGACAGTATTCCGTTGATGCTCAGCAGCTAGGACTAATATCGATAAGGTTGGTCCCACCGTAGTAGTTATATCGGGAGTCAACAAACCAAATAGTGATTTTTCAGGTTTGACGTTTAGGTTCGCTAAAAATAAATTTGTCCGCTACGATTACCACATCACGGTTTTCGATAAAATATATTTTTGACTTCATCCAGGTTGTTGTTAATAGGAGAGTATCTAGAGACACTGAAGAAGCAATAGCTTTCCCTAAAACTCAATGTCCCATATACCAGACAGCTCATAAATGATTGATATGAATTACAGAAGTGTTTGATCTGATCAGGCAAAAATAGTAGGATAGAAAACAATAACAAACGACGCTCGGTGAATAAAAAGTGGCCAGTTATAGTGGTAAATGTCAGTTAGTAATCTCCTTATCAGGATGCATGCAAGCAACACTGAAAACTTGCAATAAAAGACTTACGTCACGAATATCTCTGCCCAGCCATCAGAAAACACTAGACATAACATCAACAACAACAAAATTTGTGTGTAACTGAAATAATACACGCTTTCTTCTTGGAAACACATATTTGTAATTAAGTAAGGACTTCATGTAATGACTTACTATTCTCAGTTAGTTTATCCTCACTTGCTTGACAACCTTCCTCAAAAACTTTCCGAAAATCTTCTGCATCTTAACAAAACAAAATAAAAATTAAGATCACACCAGGCCGAATAATGACCATGTATTTAACAAACTTCAAGAGAAGCAACATCTTATAAAAACATTTTCTTAAATCATTATTACCTACGAATAACAAGCTAAACATTTCTAGATTATCCCGTCCAATTAAAAACATTCGGAAAGTAATTAGTTGAAGCATAAACAGTAGTCTGAATGACAAAAAAGCTACTACTTGATAAGTAATGGATCAATCCAATTACCTATAAACAAACACGATGACAGAAAACGCGAAAGCATATCCAAGAAATCAGCGATTCGTGGTGATCAACCCAAAGTTATGAATGAAATACACACAAACACTGGACCTAGCACACCGACATTACAGAATGGATTACTTTAGTATCCTGATTGAGTTACCGTAGTGGACTTATTAGATATAATGAGTTGGTTGACAAAGGCCTCACGGGCACGAACAACTTGACCAACTATCAGGTTATATCATCTGTGATGTTCAGAGATGTCCACTTCCCTAAAGAATTCCAGGTATATAGTCAAGAGTCAAATTCGTAACGTCAGCTGACCGTTCAGCCAGTCATGTGCACCGGTTTAAGCTGCCACACTACATTAACTAACGATTGCTGAAGGTCGATGATACTACAATATCACAAGTTTTGGAAGATGAGTCCAGCCTAGAATATATTGTTTTACCTTCATATCGATCGTTTTATCATAGGATTCAGTCATATACTTGTCTCCTTGCTTACAAGTTTTATACCAGTAGCAAATGTTTAAAAAGTGATAGCATGTGGAGAAAACAGACGCTTATGGTTTGTATGAGGTAAATTTCTTTCAAGAGCATTGAAACAACACGGCGAGTAAATCCTGAATGGCCGATGAACGTACGACCAAACTGTGTTTAAGACCAGGTTAATAAGTGGAACGGTAGCTTTGTGGCTAGAAAGCTTGACATTTTACCAGTAGGTACCGGTTTCGAAGCCTGGAACACCTACTTTGGTTTGGGTAACCAGATAGTATCAACGACCTTAAGTGTGGCCTAGCGCAGGCAACCTTAACCTATAAATGAGCTACAAAACTAAGCCAATAGAAATAATTTTATGGAATACCCTTCTACATAACCTTTCGGTGACCCTTTCGTTTACCTCCGATTTGGATGCACGTATGGGTATGCTATGAACATAAATATTCAACCTAACTCCGTATATTACTTGAGTTAACGCCGTTTGTGACGGCGGCAATAAGAAGCCAAATACGGGTTGCGTTGGATGAATTTATCTCAAGCACTCGTTTATCCAGACACATTCGGAATGAAGGCAGGAAAACGAAGCAGAGTTGGCTCATTCGCCTTCGCCAAAATCACATCCGTTCTGGAATCTATCGCCACTATTGTGAAACTATACGAAATATTACTGATACCGTTTCCCGATACTCAAAATGAAGCTGAAGGGTTTCTTTGAATACATTTAGTTACAAGTTTTGAACGAAACCTCAACAGATAGTACGTCTTAAATGATCACATTTTAATCTATCTGAACTATCTAGTTATTTATATTACGAGTGAAGTTCCAGGGAAAGAGGGAACGTCAGTTGACAATATTACAAGACCAGTAGCCGGATTGGATGGCCCAGACATTTTGTACCAAGAAGTGAGTAGAGTATGTGGGGGGAAATCTATCAAAAGGCTATGACACAACACAAGTGCGTAGTCACTGACCTGGTCTAGACGAAGAAAGCTCCTTGCCCAGAACTTTGTATGGCATGCAGGGATCGGAAAGAATCAGAACCGATTGTGGTGGAGGGTATGTACTAATTGCTTATTACTCCGAAGCTACCTCATACAGACAGGTAATGTTTTGTTTATTGGTACTCTTTTCGTACGTCGTTGAGTAATACGGTAGGAATATACGGGTCTCACTTCGTTTATGTTACATATTGAAGGGTTATTTCCTTCGGAAACTGCAGACAGAATTAAAATAGGAGTGTGATATTTCCATTTGTCGACTACTCTTATCTAGACGGTCAAACAGCTATTCCATAAGTTTCTTATTTCTATGATTCTCAGTTGTATCAGTGGTTTCAAAAAATTAGATAATAAATTGTATCATGATGACATTTCTTTGGTGTCTTGAGAGGCTAAAATTTCGAGGTTTTACAGTCAGGGTCATCTAAATTTACTGCCATGGATAAAAAAGATAATGACCTACATAGATCAATCTGTCGTTTAAATTAAAGGACTAAGGTTTGAATGAACGCTTTGTTTGGTATGCATCAAAGCAACATGACCTAAAGACTTGGAAAGTCTGACATCTTGGTGATTTGAGCTTAAGATACAAGACATAAACTCTCACGAGTGCAAGGAATCAAACATCCAGATATTTAATGGCATTTATGTGCCATTGAACTGCAGTAGTGAACGTAATTAAATATTTCGGGAAACGTTAGAAAGTCTCTGAAGTAATATTGAATACGTACATGTAGAGTTAGCAAATCTAACACCCAATAACTCTGGTTTTACCACCTCGTCTGCGAAATCAGCTGTCGTACTCCAGACAAAAGCTCTACTGCTGCTGCAGTTTGGACGTAAGTACATATTTTTGAGGAGATAATGGTTGGCACAAACCTAAATTGCTGTAAAGTAACGTGTATAAGAACCTTGTACGTGCGATCCCGACGCATCAATAAGCGATAGCATCCACTGGTCCTGTTACGTAGAATTTTCAGCACTCCAACCCCACGCTCCTTCCATTCTGGGGGATCGTCAATAGTGTCGAAACGAAACAGTTGTGCTCTCCTGAAAGATCAAGTGACTTGATTTAAATTAAAAGGTACTGTTTGAATAGGCACTCTTCATTCTCCTCGGAACTACAGACTGTTAAAGGGGGAAGAGTAATAACAGGCTCAAAATATAGGTCAGGGTCTTCGTGCTAAGCAATTTAACGAGAGAATTTATTCGTACTTCCGAAACGCTATGCATTATCGCCACTATTAATTGAAAAGGCCAGCTAGTAGTTTGTTTGCGTCTATGTAATTTACGTTTGCGCAGACGAGGTACAGTGACAGCGGACCAGACACCACGAGATTCTAAAAGGAGAAATATGTAGTGTTAAGTCAAAAGCCAAACACTGTTATCACATTTACTAACGACAACAACTAACAGGAATTACTGATAGGTGTGTAAACTAAAAATCAACTTGTAATGTGTAAAGATATCAAAGCAACACAACGGCCAACCAATGACCACTCAAGGTTGTTGTGCATTCAACATCCAATAAGCTAACGGAACAATAATAATTATAATGAGCGCAGGTGGTCGTGATGAGTGACATATACGGTTAGACATGTCAGTTGTGAACCTGTATAGTACAGTTCAAGATACTTCATGAGTATCGGTTAAGAGCACGGATCAATCATATATTTAGTTGTGATTGAGCATAATCTACAATCAGAAAATGAAACATCGCAGATGGGTGGTTCAGCACATCCGTCTACCAACCCCGGTTTGCTTATATCGATGAGTAGGTTGTAGTGTCGTAGCTGATCTATGTCAATGATTGATATAGAAACGTCTGAAACAACAGAAATCCGCTGAATGGGTTTACTTGAACTCGCGTCGAATTAGATGTACATTTCCTCGTGGATTGGGATCGACTTTCCGTCCGCCACGCTTGATTATATGGATTTGGCTGAGTAACATTCTCCACTGCGCATCATTTTGTTTCGCTTCGCTCTCTTCGCTTTCTTCACTCCGTCATTTTGGTTGTCTGTTCAGATCAACGATCGTACAAAATATACGTTTATAAAATCTATTCTGGTATTTGACTTGCTTTAATTCCGTTATTCTCTAAAGCGAGTTTAGTCGATAATTACATATGAGGGTTGACGACATGTATATTTCGATAGCACTCAAGATGCGATCTACCTGAAGTCAGATCACGGGTCACTAAAAATGATGAGCTCTACCACGAACCCAACTTAGGGCCAAAAATATCACTAACTGAAGGCGCTTAGTGCAGGATGCACACCAGCCCAGATTTCGATGTTCTCACGAAGGTACCCACTATATTAAACAGGTAGATAAGTAGTTACGTGTTCTGATACTACTGCCTACAACTCTAATATATATTTCTACTCAGTCACCGCCCGTCCTTCTCTTTATGTCCAGACAACAATTCGATAGAAGAGATTTCCTCGACAGTTTCGTTAGGAGATGCCTCATTCATATTATTCTCTATAACCATTATAAATATGTTCAAGTAAAACGGTTGCACGAACCGAGGCTGAGACCATGTTTTCCGTTCAAGTAAACCCATTCAGCGGATTTCTGTTGTTTCAGACGTTTCTATATCAATCATTGACATAGATCAGCTACGACACTACAACCTACTCATCGGTATAAGCAAACCGGGGTTGGTAGACGGATGTGCTGAACCACCCATCTGCGATGTTTCATTTTCTGATTGTAGATTATGCTCAATCACAACTAAATATATGATTGATCCGTGCTCTTAACCGATACTCATGAAGTATCTTGAACTGTACTATACAGGTTCACAACTGACATGTCTAACCGTATATGTCACTCATCACGACCACCTGCGCTCATTATAATTATTATTGTTCCGTTAGCTTATTGGATGTTGAATGCACAACAACCTTGAGTGGTCATTGGTTGGCCGTTGTGTTGCTTTGATATCTTTACACATTACAAGTTGATTTTTAGTTTACACACCTATCAGTAATTCCTGTTAGTTGTTGTCGTTAGTAAATGTGATAACAGTGTTTGGCTTTTGACTTAACACTACATATTTCTCCTTTTAGAATCTCGTGGTGTCTGGTCCGCTGTCACTGTACCTCGTCTGCGCAAACGTAAATTACATAGACGCAAACAAACTACTAGCTGGCCTTTTCAATTAATAGTGGCGATAATGCATAGCGTTTCGGAAGTACGAATAAATTCTCTCGTTAAATTGCTTAGCACGAAGACCCTGACCTATATTTTGAGCCTGTTATTACTCTTCCCCCTTTAACAGTCTGTAGTTCCGAGGAGAATGAAGAGTGCCTATTCAAACAGTACCTTTTAATTTAAATCAAGTCACTTGATCTTTCAGGAGAGCACAACTGTTTCGTTTCGACACTATTGACGATCCCCCAGAATGGAAGGAGCGTGGGGTTGGAGTGCTGAAAATTCTACGTAACAGGACCAGTGGATGCTATCGCTTATTGATGCGTCGGGATCGCACGTACAAGGTTCTTATACACGTTACTTTACAGCAATTTAGGTTTGTGCCAACCATTATCTCCTCAAAAATATGTACTTACGTCCAAACTGCAGCAGCAGTAGAGCTTTTGTCTGGAGTACGACAGCTGATTTCGCAGACGAGGTGGTAAAACCAGAGTTATTGGGTGTTAGATTTGCTAACTCTACATGTACGTATTCAATATTACTTCAGAGACTTTCTAACGTTTCCCGAAATATTTAATTACGTTCACTACTGCAGTTCAATGGCACATAAATGCCATTAAATATCTGGATGTTTGATTCCTTGCACTCGTGAGAGTTTATGTCTTGTATCTTATGCTCAAATCACCAAGATGTCAGACTTTCCAAGTCTTTAGGTCATGTTGCTTTGATGCATACCAAACAAAGCGTTCATTCAAACCTTAGTCCTTTAATTTAAACGACAGATTGATCTATGTAGGTCATTATCTTTTTTATCCATGGCAGTAAATTTAGATGACCCTGACTGTAAAACCTCGAAATTTTAGCCTCTCAAGACACCAAAGAAATGTCATCATGATACAATTTATTATCTAATTTTTTGAAACCACTGATACAACTGAGAATCATAGAAATAAGAAACTTATGGAATAGCTGTTTGACCGTCTAGATAAGAGTAGTCGACAAATGGAAATATCACACTCCTATTTTAATTCTGTCTGCAGTTTCCGAAGGAAATAACCCTTCAATATGTAACATAAACGAAGTGAGACCCGTATATTCCTACCGTATTACTCAACGACGTACGAAAAGAGTACCAATAAACAAAACATTACCTGTCTGTATGAGGTAGCTTCGGAGTAATAAGCAATTAGTACATACCCTCCACCACAATCGGTTCTGATTCTTTCCGATCCCTGCATGCCATACAAAGTTCTGGGCAAGGAGCTTTCTTCGTCTAGACCAGGTCAGTGACTACGCACTTGTGTTGTGTCATAGCCTTTTGATAGATTTCCCCCCACATACTCTACTCACTTCTTGGTACAAAATGTCTGGGCCATCCAATCCGGCTACTGGTCTTGTAATATTGTCAACTGACGTTCCCTCTTTCCCTGGAACTTCACTCGTAATATAAATAACTAGATAGTTCAGATAGATTAAAATGTGATCATTTAAGACGTACTATCTGTTGAGGTTTCGTTCAAAACTTGTAACTAAATGTATTCAAAGAAACCCTTCAGCTTCATTTTGAGTATCGGGAAACGGTATCAGTAATATTTCGTATAGTTTCACAATAGTGGCGATAGATTCCAGAACGGATGTGATTTTGGCGAAGGCGAATGAGCCAACTCTGCTTCGTTTTCCTGCCTTCATTCCGAATGTGTCTGGATAAACGAGTGCTTGAGATAAATTCATCCAACGCAACCCGTATTTGGCTTCTTATTGCCGCCGTCACAAACGGCGTTAACTCAAGTAATATACGGAGTTAGGTTGAATATTTATGTTCATAGCATACCCATACGTGCATCCAAATCGGAGGTAAACGAAAGGGTCACCGAAAGGTTATGTAGAAGGGTATTCCATAAAATTATTTCTATTGGCTTAGTTTTGTAGCTCATTTATAGGTTAAGGTTGCCTGCGCTAGGCCACACTTAAGGTCGTTGATACTATCTGGTTACCCAAACCAAAGTAGGTGTTCCAGGCTTCGAAACCGGTACCTACTGGTAAAATGTCAAGCTTTCTAGCCACAAAGCTACCGTTCCACTTATTAACCTGGTCTTAAACACAGTTTGGTCGTACGTTCATCGGCCATTCAGGATTTACTCGCCGTGTTGTTTCAATGCTCTTGAAAGAAATTTACCTCATACAAACCATAAGCGTCTGTTTTCTCCACATGCTATCACTTTTTAAACATTTGCTACTGGTATAAAACTTGTAAGCAAGGAGACAAGTATATGACTGAATCCTATGATAAAACGATCGATATGAAGGTAAAACAATATATTCTAGGCTGGACTCATCTTCCAAAACTTGTGATATTGTAGTATCATCGACCTTCAGCAATCGTTAGTTAATGTAGTGTGGCAGCTTAAACCGGTGCACATGACTGGCTGAACGGTCAGCTGACGTTACGAATTTGACTCTTGACTATATACCTGGAATTCTTTAGGGAAGTGGACATCTCTGAACATCACAGATGATATAACCTGATAGTTGGTCAAGTTGTTCGTGCCCGTGAGGCCTTTGTCAACCAACTCATTATATCTAATAAGTCCACTACGGTAACTCAATCAGGATACTAAAGTAATCCATTCTGTAATGTCGGTGTGCTAGGTCCAGTGTTTGTGTGTATTTCATTCATAACTTTGGGTTGATCACCACGAATCGCTGATTTCTTGGATATGCTTTCGCGTTTTCTGTCATCGTGTTTGTTTATAGGTAATTGGATTGATCCATTACTTATCAAGTAGTAGCTTTTTTGTCATTCAGACTACTGTTTATGCTTCAACTAATTACTTTCCGAATGTTTTTAATTGGACGGGATAATCTAGAAATGTTTAGCTTGTTATTCGTAGGTAATAATGATTTAAGAAAATGTTTTTATAAGATGTTGCTTCTCTTGAAGTTTGTTAAATACATGGTCATTATTCGGCCTGGTGTGATCTTAATTTTTATTTTGTTTTGTTAAGATGCAGAAGATTTTCGGAAAGTTTTTGAGGAAGGTTGTCAAGCAAGTGAGGATAAACTAACTGAGAATAGTAAGTCATTACATGAAGTCCTTACTTAATTACAAATATGTGTTTCCAAGAAGAAAGCGTGTATTATTTCAGTTACACACAAATTTTGTTGTTGTTGATGTTATGTCTAGTGTTTTCTGATGGCTGGGCAGAGATATTCGTGACGTAAGTCTTTTATTGCAAGTTTTCAGTGTTGCTTGCATGCATCCTGATAAGGAGATTACTAACTGACATTTACCACTATAACTGGCCACTTTTTATTCACCGAGCGTCGTTTGTTATTGTTTTCTATCCTACTATTTTTGCCTGATCAGATCAAACACTTCTGTAATTCATATCAATCATTTATGAGCTGTCTGGTATATGGGACATTGAGTTTTATGGAAAGCTATTTCTATTAAAAAAAAACAAACACAAAAAACAATTTTTTTAACGCTATTACCTGTTCATGAGTTTTTTTCCCATTTTTTTCGCCGACATTTTGTTTTTACGCACATACGAATGTATTTCGACATGCACTTACATTTTCTTTTTTTCTTTTCCAGGACGGCTGGAAATGAACGATGACGTTTATGAGGATCCGAAATTTTCATTGTACATTTTCTTTTTTTTTACTATGTTGTACCTCGGTCCCATATAGTAAGGAAAGACGACCAGACGCTGCTACACTTAGTAAGCTATCAGAAGAGTGTTTACCAACGACTTTGTCGTTGGGTTTAAACTTCTGGCTGGCCACGTCTTAGGGTCATCACTGCCCCACTAGGGGGGAGTGATCTGTAGCGGTAAATAAATCCCCAAACTAAATAGCTCTGAAAGTTTTCGACATTGGATGCTGACTATATGTTTTAGTGGACTCATCTAGCTGAAGGCGCTCGGTCATGCATCCGCACCAGATCACGTGTGGTAACGCCGTGCTCAACATCAACCGCAATCGTTAGCCAGATTAGATCAGAGAATTCAGATATATTGGTCGACGCCAAATATACTCTTCCGATCTCCTCGACTCTGTCTTTTGATTTCTCTGGGTGGGAACGAAATACATTAGAAGGTGTTACTGGTAGAAGCGTTGTCAAACACTGAATACCTGTGACATCATCATTGGTGAGACTGACGTGATCTGGTACACCTAATTGCAACTGTGAGTCTGTTATTTTTTGGGATTTTTATATATCATTGCCTTTATTTATTATTTTTTTTAAACATTGTGATTTTTTTTCGTGTTTTTTCTTGGATATATATATATATTCATTATCGTACTTCATATTTCATCATGACTGAACAGACACCTAAAGTACTCAAGCTTAAGACTTGGTCCCCACCTTCGTTTCAACTGATGCCTTTCTGGCCCGACAACATCGAAGCCTGGTTTTGCTACGCAGAAGCCGACTTCTCCGAGCACGGCGTGATCGACACACGTGCACAATTCCTCGCAGTAGTCAAGGCACTACCGCGCGAATTCAACAGGTACGTAACACCTAGTATGTTTACTAGTGATGTTTCCGAACCTTACGAAATATTAAAACGCTCGATTCTCAAACGAGGAGACTTAACCGATCGACAAAGTTTAGACCAACTCTTCAACAATATCGACCTGCAACACGGTTCTGCGACAGACATGTTGCAACGGATGAGAGAGATTATAGGCCCAAGAACTTTCGACGAAGGCCTATTCAAACAACTCTTCTTGTCAAAACTTCCCCAACAGGTGCAAGCAGTTCTAGTCTCGTTCCAGAACAACGCCTTAGACGAACTGGCTGCATCTGCCGACCGCATTCTAAAAATTACGGAACCTACTACCGAGGTATTTTCAGTCAAAGAAAAGCCTCACACGACTCAGAATGATATAACCGACTTATGTCACACACTCACGCGTTATCTTAGTCTTAGTACCGACCGTAAGAGATCGCGCACACCACGTAGAAGCATTTCTCGCAAGCGATCTGTCTCTAGACCACGAGAGACAGATAACCCCGACTGGTGCTGGTATCATAACCAGTATGGAAAACTTTCCAGAAATTGCAGAAACCCCTGCAATTTTCCCAACATGAAACCGACTGATTCGGGAAACTTCCAAGCCGGCACGCGTTAACGGCAACCGTAGCCGGCGAACATAGCCGTCTGTTATACGTCACAGATGTGACAACGAGAGTTCGCTACCTCGTCGATACTGGCGCAGAAGTTAGCGTTCTCCCAGCGAATCCCAACGATCGGCTTCAAGAATCGGCTCTAAATTTACAGGCGGCAAACGGAAAACCGATCGCTACGTATGGCAAAAGGTACGTTTACCTTAACGTGGGTTTACGCAAACCCATCCACTGGATTTTCGTTGTTGCAGATGTTTCTATGCCAATCATTGGTATGGACCTTCTACAACACCACAATCTGATCATCGACACTCGCAAACGGAGGCTAATAGACGGAAACACTAATTTGTCCGTTTGCGTAACTTCTTTTACTGGTTGCAGAGTAGCCCCAGTCACAGTTAAACATATGATAGACCCACTCTATCAACCACTACTCGATAAGTACCCTGGAATACAACAAACTCAACCGAAACTACCGTGTGTAACCAGCAATGCTACACATCACATCACGACTACAGGACCACTTGTATTCTATAAAGCACGACGACTAGCTCCTGAAAAGCTAAGGTTAGCGAAAAACGAATCCGATCACATGATGGATTTAGGAATCATACGAACGTCAAGTAGCCCATATGCATCTCCGTTGCACATGGTCCCTAAAAAGGACAGCAACGATTGGCGTCCAACTGGTGACTATCGGTGATTGAACGTGAAAACCATTCCCGATCGTTACCCGTTGCCTCACATTCACGATTTGACAGCTACCTTGAAAGGTACAACTGTCTTTTCGAAAATCGACTTAGTTAAAGCATATAACCAAATCCCTATGGCTACTGACGATATACCGAAAACAGCTATCATAACTCCCTTCGGACTCTATGAATTTTTGCGAATGCCTTTCGGTCTAAGAAATGCTGCTCAAACATTCCAAAGATTCATAGACGACGTTTTTCGAGGTCTCAACTTCGTACATGCGTATGTTGATGACTGCCTAATCGCAAGTCCGGACAGAGAAACACATCTCAAGCATCTGGATCTTGTTTTCGAACGACTACAAAAACATGGCATTACTGTAAACGTTCAGAAATGCCAATTCGGAACCGACTCGTTAGATTTCCTAGGACACACTATCGATGCTCAAGGTATCCGACCCCTTAGAACCAAAGCGGCGGCCATTCTGGATTACCCAGAACCGACCACCGTCAAGCAATTACGCACGTTTAACGGCTTGGTAAGTTTCTATAGACGTTTCATACCGAAATGCGCATTACTTATGAAACCTCTGACCGACCAACTTCGTGGAAATGCGAAATCCGTTAATTTGGACGACAGCGCACGAAAAGCATTCTCCACAGTTAAGGAACTGATCGCTAAAGCAACAATGCTCGCACATCGGGACACCCGAGCACCCATTAGCATCGCAGTAGACGCATCCGACTGGGCAATCGGAGGAGTCTTACAACAATGGGTTAACAACTCTTGACAACCCTTGGCATTTTTCTCTAGACGGTTGCTAGACACCGAATCGAGGTACAGCACATTCGGTAGGGAACTCCTAGCTATGTATTGTGCTGTACGGCATTTCCAACACTACGTCGAAGGTCGTGAATTCACTCTTTTCACGGACCATAAACCACTCACTTTCTCGTTAAGCTCTCCTTCTGACAAGTACTCCCCCCGTGAGTCTCGACAACTGGACTACATTTCGCAGTTTACTTCAGACATTCAACACATCTCTGGAGCAAACAATGTAGTTGCAGACGCTTTATGTCGCATAACTTCCTTGAACAGTTTCCAAGGAATCGACCTTCTTAAACTCGCCGAGCTTCAAAAAGAAGACAGTGATCTTCAACACGAGTTATCGCCCACAGCACTTAAACTACGCATCAAACAGATGGGAACAGGTAAGGAAACCTTACTTTGTGACACATCTACAGGTAGGGATCGCCCAATCGTGCCGAAACATTATCGACGCAATGTCTTCAACACATTGCACAAACGTTCGCATCCAGGTGTTCGTGCAACCATCAAGCTCATAGCAGAAAGATTTTGCTGGCCTGGAGTGAATAAAGACGTGAGGGAGTGGGCACGCTCCTGTGTAAGCTGCCGAAAATCCAAATTTATCAGACACAATAAATGTCCCTTAGGCTCGTTTAAAACTCCCGATGCTCGTTTCGACCATGTTCATCTGGATTTGGTAGGACCTTTACCAGATTCAAATGGATACTCTTATCTCTTAACCTGCGTAGACCGTTTCACTCGATGGCCAGAAGCAGTACCTATCAAGGACATCACTGCTGAAACAGTGGCTCGCACCTTCGTCGAACGATGGGTAGCAAACTTTGGCTGCCCTTCAACCATCACTACAGACCGCGGACGTCAGTTTGAATCCGATCTTTTCCGTCGTCTGACCACACTTTTAGGAATCACTCGCTTCCGAACGACCGCCTACCATCCACAAGCAAACGGGTTGGTAGAACGTTTTCACTGACAACTGAAAGCTTCGCTATCAGCTGCAAACATTTCACAGTGGACCGACGCTCTTCCACTCGTCTTACTAGGTATCCGCAATGCAGTGAAAGCTGACATTGGATACACTGCGTCTCAACTCGTTTATGGAACGACACTTCGACTTTCAGGAGAATTCGTGGATCCTTCATCCTCTTCAATGAACATGGATCTAACCTCCTACACGAACAGGCTTACAAACGCAATGCGTTCAGTTAATCCTGCTTCAACTCGACCTCAATCAATTGATGTTTTCGTTCAACCTGACTTACGATATAGTACACACGTTTTCATTCGTCGAGACTCGCATCGACGACCATTCGAATCAGCATACGAAGGACCCTTCAAAGTTCTTCAACGTGAATCTAAGTACTATATAGTCGATAAGAACGGAACCAACGATAGCATCAGCATCGATCGCTTAAAAGCAGCGTATTTAGAAGGAAATCCTGTCTACATGGATTTTCCTTCGGTACAATCGAACGACACGACTCCGACACTTATAATATTTCATCCGACAACCAACACACACGATGATACTTCGACAGTATCCGAAAATAAACTTAAAACGACGCGTTCTGGAAGAAGGGTGAGATTTCCAGAACATTTAAACGACTATTGCACGTAAGGCACTTCTCGACATTTTATATTATTTTTTAAAAAAAAACAATTTTAATATGCTTATATATTTTTATTTCTATTAAGAAAAAACAAAACAAAAAAACAATTTTTTTAACGCTATTACGTGTTCATGAGTTTTTTTC